AAATTTATAAGGATAGGACCATATTAACCACTGCCCCGTATAACCGCTCATTTAGAAAATCCCTTTTTTGTCAACAAATTGTTAAAATATTTCTGAATTAAGGTAAAAATTAAATTAAATACTTCATTATTAAAAAATAATCTACATTTTTAATATAATCACTGGTGTAGGGTATCATATGGTCGGCCATGCCCAACTATAAATTCTTACTTGTTTTTAAACGTCTAAGGTTTTCTTTGCTAATTTATCTAATTACTACTAAAAAGAAAGTTAAATTGTTATTTTATAAATTTAATTTAGTTTTTTTTTTTAATTTATTTTTTTCCAAAAGGCCAAACAAATTGATTAGAACATTTTTTAATTAGTAAAATTTAAAAATTTTACGTAATAATTTAATAGCTTTAAAAATTACAATTCAATGCACTATTTGTTAAATAAATTTTCAAAGGAAAGTTTTCTTTTTTTCGAATTTAATGAATCATAAATAATTAAATGGATATTTTTGTTGAACACATTTCTTTTTCAATTAACACTTCAGTCATTTACATAAAAATAAATTGAAAATCATCAATGAAACAAACATTTACACAATTGGAAATAATTTTTTTTATGAATCATTTATATGAAGAAAAAAACACAATAATACAATACCCTTTCTGGTATTTTTCCTATTGTCCAAATAAATTAGTAACAATTTTGTTTACAAGTCAAAATTGTGACCAATTAAGCAGTAACTTTAAGCGGTATAGCTTATTACAACCAGATTTAATAACTATTTCTTTAGAATTTGTTGTTTGTAAACAATTGTCTATTAAATGGCAATAAACATAATAATTAGTAATATATTTTTATTTGATTACAGTTACGTTAATATGAATCATTTGACAATAAACAATTATAAATGTTTGCCACCAAATCTTATCATAATGAATAACAAAAAAAATCACCCTATATTAGTTTTCTAGCAGACTTACAGAAGACATGAGTTTTATATAAATTTAATCATCTAAAATTATCATTTCAGAAGTAATAATTTATTTGCTCAAAATTATTTTATTTGCTTTGACTGAATAGTAATATTTATCTTACATAATTACCAAGTTAATTAATCATAACTAACAATTCAAAGACACATTTACACAAATTGACTATTTGTACAACTTTATATTGCAAAATGACACACCGAAACAAATATAATTAGGAAAATGCAATAAAGATTGTATTTAAAAGTACATCTCAATTATATGAAAAAAAGCTCAAGTTCATGCAAAATTGTTAAATAGAAAATTTTAATGTAACAATTTAACTTTTATTTATGTCAACGTTCACATTGATCAAACATTTGTTTATATGAACAAACAATGTCAAAGAAAAACCACAATCTTTTGTAGAAATTCATCAAAAAGTTAACTGAAAGACAAATATTTTTCACTTTAGTTTTAATTGTCTTCAAAGGGTTTATAAAACAAAAGTTCAGACTTTTTCCATAACATCATGTCTCTAGTTTACTCATTTTATCCCGTGTAGTCTATACTTGCTACAACAAAATTCATATCACATATTTTTCCTAAATTGTTTCCAGTTTGTGTTTGTTTACTTTACTTTATGCTGAATCCAAATCTGAGTTCGAAGTTTCTTTATAACATCATGTCTCTAGTTTAGTATATTTTTATCCCGTGTAGTCTGTGCTTGGTATAACAAAATTCATGTCAGATATTTTTCCTATATTATTTCCAGTTTGTGTTTGTTTTCTTTATTGTAGCGGCAGTCATTCGTGAAACCAGTATCTAATTAACAATTTAATTCGGTAATAAATTAATTAACGGCTTAAAATATTAAAAAAAGAACCATTCAATTTATATTATTTAACAGTTTAAATTAAATATAGAAGATGACTGACAAGCACTGATATAAATCATGGGAATTCATTTTTTTAATTTGTTATTGAAATAAATTCGTAATCAGTTTGAAACAATGAAAAAAAAACATAATAAGTTTGTGAACTTGAAATTAAAATATCTTAAAAAGTTTATAATCGAAAACTACATTGAAAATACTTTAAAATCAATGAAAATTTTAAAATTATTTTTAAATCCCCTTAACGTTACTAGAAAGAATTTATAGTCGGGCATGGCCGACCATATGATACCGTACACCAGTGATTATGTTAAAAATGTAGATTATTTTTTTAATAATGAAGTATTTAATTTAATTTTTACCTTAATTCAGAAATATTTTAACAAAAAAGGTATTTTCTAAATAAGGGGTTTTATGGAGGCAGGGGTTAATACGGCCCTATCCTTATAATTTTTGGTAGAGGGATTTACATTAGTTATTTATGCAGAATATTATCATGATATTAGTGTTTATAAGTGAATTTTGACCATCAAGTCATTTTCTGAAGGGCACTTTGTATGGGGGATAGGGTCAAATAAGGCCCGATCATTACGAAAACCAGCAGTACTATTAAGACTTATATAAAACTAAATTTGCCGATTTTTGAAGTGATACAAGAACATTTAACATATTTATGAGCTCAAAAGTTTTAACCATTTTCAATAGGCTTCGTCCTTGAGTCAAAAGAAAAGCATATGCCAATTCATCAAATTATTTTGAAAATTGCGACCTGTAGAGTGCGCACAAGGTTTACATGAACACACAGAGGGACATAGCTAAATCGACTCAGAAAGTGATTTTGAGTCGATTGGTATACTTTTACAAACATCAGCACATTTTAAACAACTTCGAATTTAATTCTAAATTTTAGAACATAATATTGTATTATCATTAGAAGTATTAATGAATAAAGATGTACATTAAAGTGTCCCGAGGAATCTCATTTAGAAATACCTCTGAAACGATGCATATTAATGTACTGAACTCTAAAAAAAATGTTTTTTTGCAACGGTCCGCAGTTGCCTACCAGCGATTAAAAATCCTCACCTCGTTATAATTTATGAAAAAAAAATATTTAAAAATTTTTTGAAATGGGTTTCAAAAATTACCTAATTTTGATCTGATTACGGGAAAAATAATTTTTAAATAGTTTGGGTCCTCAACATAACCCATTCGAAAAAACACATATCGAAAAGATTACCGAAAAATTGTTTCAACATATTGTACGGAGATCAAGATTTTCAATCCCTAGTAGGGAAAAGTTCGCTAGTAGGAAACTTTTCAAAGTACATTAATATGCATCGTTTGGGAGGCATTCCTATAAAAAAGTGGTTCACGGGACACCCTAGTATACATATTTTAAATAGATTTTTTATATTTATTTCAAATACGTTTAATTGCTCTTATTGGAAATACATATTAAAATACTATGGTTTTGTGGTTTTATAAATAAATACATTTATATTTTTTTTATTGCTTTATATATTTTCAATTAAAATTTATATTGAAAATAGATAAATATTTGACTAATATTAAAATGAAAAATATGCTTAAGTCCATTAGTATTGGTATACATGATTGTGCTAATAGCACTCCTTAAGCTACTTGTATAATTAGGGAGTGTTTAATATCAAATTTGTAATTTTCTAAAAAAAAAAAAAACTATTACTATTACTAACTGCCAATTAAACACTAAATAAAATTTTATTATTTACAAAAATTAAACATTTAAATTTTTAATTTTGCTTACAGGAGGCTTGAGTTTAATAACACAGGCCGACAAAATTAGTAAAAAATCGAAACCCAGAGAAAGGATAGAGCTGAATTCGAGCCGAAATGGCGTGTTTTTTTCAAATTTCAGGGCACGATATCTCAAATCCCAGATGTGGAAAAATTCTGAGGCCAGATTCGGATTTAAAGCGGCTCAATCCTTTAGAAAAGTATACTCTGGCCTTTTGTCGGCCTGAGTAATATTAAACACAAATATGTACACAATTTTCTTTAACAGAGATTTCAGTTTTAACAAAATGCTATTTTTTAAACCACGACTGTATGTACAAACTATTAAATACATGCCGGGTTTTTTATAGATTATTTTATAGTATCTATGAACGTATAAAAAACAAACAATCTCTTACCTCAAATATTGACACTAAAGAGTTTGTTGCGGCGTTAAATACATATCCAACAAATTTCTTAACAACAATAACAACAACTGCAATAACTCCAACAACAACAACTAACAACCCGTGAAAGAGCAACAAGAAACTTGAAAAGAACAGCGGTTATCCAAATACACATAAAAATAAACACGCGTACGCACTCACTCAATATATGTACATATGTATGTAATAACTCTCCCAATAATCGGAAAAGATACAGAGAAAGAATTCTGAAAAATTTAACACGTCTACAGAAAACAGGCAAACAAAAAAATGTTTAAAAATTATTATTCAAAAATCGTTGAATTTGACTTTAATTATTTATTCTTTCTCGCTTTGAACTTATTGGTTAAAAGAACTGAAACGATTTACTTTTCAAATCAACGCGTCAACAACGGAACAAAAACATGAAAATTTTATATTGAATGTTAACAAAAAAAAAAAAGGGATTTTAATGTAATTCCTTAATTCATTCATGATGCCATAAAGTTACAAAAGAAACTAGACAAAAGTTAAAATATTTTACGCTTCGAGAAACATAAATAATTAGAACTTTTGTAATAGAAACTCTTTAAATTAAAACTAAATGAAAAATTTACGTATTTTTTTTAGGAAACTAAGAAATAAATTATATTTATCAACACTGCCACAAAACAATAACAATTGTTATGGGTAATAACACGTGAAAGAAATGAGGAACAATATATGTATGTTTGTACGAATTTATTTTAATAAAATTTTTCAAAATTAGTTTCTTTAAAAATAATTCTCTCTTGGGGTTATTTGTTTCTGTCTTCTATTTTACAATCGCATAATAAATCTTTTAGCACTTGTATTTGTTTATGGAAATTTTCTTTTGTTTGTTTGCTTGTTTTATTAATAATACTTTTATTCTTTTCTGATTTTTATTTAAAGGAATTTATTTATTTCTTATTGTATTACCACAAATTCGATTTGTTTATAGAAGTAATTTATAACTCGTTTATTTGTTTAACACGTTGCTATTCCGTTTAGAATTGTATTTTACCGCAACCGAACCGTACTCAATAAGAGTCCACACTAGACTGATCGTGGCTGAATACAAAAAGTAATGAGTGAGGATCGGTCGACAGAATTGTTGCTTTTTATTTTGTATTTTACATTTTTTCAATACAAACTTGTACTCATACAACAAAAATATTGTCAGCCAACGATGATCAACATCGTCAGTTGTTGATAATGAGTGTAGATGGCATAACAAAAAATAAATAATAATAATTGAGCTCTTTCGCTAAAGTAAACTAAAAAGTACAACAAGTGAGCACAATTAATTACTACAACATTTTCAATAAATCTTTCTCTAAAAACTTAACAAATCACTGAGAGTTATCATGATCTCTCTTTCTTTGCTTGAAACTCAAAACCACCATTAACAATTTCACTCTCTGTTGTTTTTTAAATTAATAATCCTTTCTTTTTAGAAAACTAGCAAAAGTATCACTGATTAGCTTCTCTTTTCTACTCTAGTTCTCATTCTCTGTAATTATCATTTTCTTTAAATATCTCTTTGTTAATATGCGCTCATTTTTTAAAGAGTATTTTCTTTTTATTCAATCCTTTTTAAGTATAAACAGCAAGTCAGGTTTTATTGGTATTACACTCGTTGAAAGTTTCTTTTTTTCAACATTTTGCTTTTTTTATTTTATTCTTTCAATTTATTTTTAGCATTTTATATGTCTATTTTCAAAGTAATATTTCTTTAGTTCATTTACTTTGCTTCTTTCAATTTAATATACAGCATTTACAGTGGCTGTTAAAATAATATGAACACAGTTTAAGCAACCACCTGGTGAGTTTGACAACCTTTATAAAATCAAATTAGTAGAACAATTATGAATGCTTTAACACCCAAAGGGGTGGAGCGAAATTATCTCTAACCTCAAAAAACATAAACACTTTTGGAAACTCGCTTTATTACTTATGATAATATGGCAAAATTTTACCTAAAATGTTAGGCCCACACTTGATCCAAGACTTTATACTGGGTCCCCTTTCTAAAATCACTCCCATGTTCATAAATTCATGTTGCCAATTTTCCCGTTAAAGCGGACGTTTCTAAAATGGCAATTGCGGAAAAGCATGCGTTTTTCCTATAGTCTAGTCTATAGTCTAGTCTATAGTCTTGTCTATAGTCTATAGTCTAGTCTATAGTCTAGTCTATAGTCTAGTCTATAGTCTAGTCTATAGTCTAGTCTATAGTCTAGTCTATAGTCTAGTCTATAGTCTAGTCTATAGTCTAGTCTATAGTCTAGTCTATAGTCTAGTCTATAGTCTAGTCTATAGTCTAGTCTATAGTCTAGTCTATAGTCTAGTCTATAGTCTAGTCTATAGTCTAGTCTATAGTCTAGTCTATAGTCTAGTCTATAGTCTAGTCTATAGTCTAGTCTATAGTCTAGTCTATAGTCTAGTCTATAGTCTAGTCTATAGTCTAGTCTATAGTCTAGTCTATAGTCTAGTCTATAGTCTAGTCTATAGTCTAGTCTATAGTCTAGTCTATAGTCTAGTCTATAGTCTAGTCTATAGTCTAGTCTAGTAGTCTATAGTCTAGTCTATAGTCTAGTCTAGTCTATAGTCTAGTCTATAGTCTAGTCTATAGTCTAGTCTATAGTCTAGTCTATAGTCTAGTCTATAGTCTAGTCTATAGTCTAGTCTATAGTCTAGTCTATAGTCTAGTCTATAGTCTATAGTCTAGTCTATAGTCTAGTCTATAGTCTAGTCTATAGTCTAGTCTAGTCTATAGTCTAGTCTTAAAACTTTTCATCCTTGCACTACTTTTATGATTCACACTGTTATGAACTGGTTCGTACCAAGATTTTGTATACATAAAGTACACACATGACAACAAAAACAGCAGCATACACACAAATTTGCAAGCAAACTAAGGCGAACATATTTCTACAGTACTGAGCAGATCGTAAGTAACAAATCTAGGAATAATTTGAAATTTATTCATTTATAAAACGCGAATATCGAATGAAATCTAAATACGATATTCTGAAAAAGAAAACTTCCAGCTTTCCTTAAATTTGTTACTTACGTTTTGCACAATACTGTATATTTATATGTGTATACGGCATTCAAGCCCAAACACAGCACAACAACAATAATTGTTTGTATACAAGTTCAATGCCGGGAAAATTTATTCCTTGTACGATTAAATGTTTGAACGACAAACATACAAACATATGTATGTATGTATGTATCTATAGATGTGCATACTCGTACAGGCAGTTAAAAAGATTCTTGTACTTGTGAATGTGTTGTTTTTGTTTTACATAAAAATTTCTACACACACCCATATGTAAATACATATCGTCACATGAAACGTAGGCATTAACTAGGAAAATATTCAAAATTTACTTTTTCATTAATTCTGATGTATTGCGTCCAAAAAAAGTCTACAAAAAAATTTGATCTTCTCTGACCAAAATTCGTAACAAAAAACAAATGGTTCTATACAAAGGCTAAAAAACCTACCCAGCAAGAATTTACAGTGAAAAACAAGGGGTTAAAATGCTAAAATTTTCTTACACAATAGCATTTTAAGTCATTATTTTAACATCGGGATGACATTGGAGACAAGTACTTACCACGCTCGTTTACAAAAATATCGAGTTAGGTAAGTATTAACTTCTCTTTTGAAGACAAATAAATCGCACTGAGTGAAACTACATATTGCCCTTTAAATGGTACATATTTTAATTCTCCTGTAAATTTTAAAAACGTTTGCGTTTCAGGTGACGATATGTATGTAAATATATTTGTGCGTTTGTGTATTTCAGAAAATCATGTAAAAAAAGCTCAAAGACCAAACATTTACATGCGATTGTACTATCCATAAAAGTTGAATATCGTTTGCATTTTTATCAGTTCTAATTTTTATATTCAATGTAAAACCGTTAGAATTTTACAAACATCCGTAGATACAACGCTATTGTATGTATGTTACAATAACTGTTTGTATGTCTGTATTAGTGCGGGGAGATTCAGATACGTTGGAAATATGTATACAAGACCACAAACAACAGAACATTGAATGAATTTCTTAATTTGCAATTACATTTACATACATATACAGTGTCTCTCATAATTATTCGAATTTGGGTAAACTATAAAAAGAAACCAAATTTAATAATATATTTTGTGTGCAAAATAAATAAATTAATTTGTTATATTGTCTAGATAGTCCTTATGTTTGATATCACGCTTTTTAAAACTTGAGAAATTTGCATTGACTTAAATTAATTGTGCTTTTTTAAAAAAAGTCCATGAAATTGCCTCACAAAAGTATACGAATTTTTCCTGTATTTCATATTTGATCATATTATACGCAACACAAATTTTAGAATCAAATGGTTTTTATGCGTAACATTGTTTTAAGGGGTTACTATCCACGGAAAGGATATATTTTTGGCCCATTTGGTCCACAATTTTGGGGAATTTGTACCCTGTTTTCATGTAATATCATTAAAATGGCGATTTTTGGCCATAATTGTAAATTTTTCTCCTTTTTTCCAGAGATAAAACAAAAATTTGATATTAGGACTTAAAAGACCCCTTGGGGTATCTAAAAATAATATTTTTTGTTACAAGAATCTGTATTTAAACGTTCCAAGATAAATTATTCAGATAATTTTTCTGTCGCTAATTCAATATATTGGAACTTAAGTCCATTTTTATAATACTAGGATCAACTATTTTCCGGGAAAGTTTTCTGGTATATATTCTTTTAGATATAAGCTTTTATACATTTTAAGTTTTCAATGTGTTGTGGAAGTGTACAACTCCAAAACATGCCTCGAAGAAGCACCATTCAAAATAGTAAAATCATTATTTTTATATACCAATGGCCTCCATGCTGCATGGCACGATATCATTATGATCACATCAAAAATGTTGTTATGTGTTTAAATATTATTTACTATGATCAAATTAAAACCAAAATTTAGGACTTACAGTGTTATTGTAACAGGCAACATAAGCGTGAAAGTTACGAGTAGTAAAAACTGAAATCTACTATATAGGATGACGTTTTGTTAAGGCATGTTTTGGGGTTGTATACCGCTATAATAAATTGAAAATTTAAAATACATTAGTGCCAATATGTACAACAATATACACTAGACTACTTTGTCGGAAAATATCGTCCCTAGAGGTACGAAAAGGGAATTATGATCCAGATAATTCAATTAGAAACTGAAAAACGATACCAAAAATAAATCTTGGAACTTCTAAGTACAGATCCTTATAACAAAAAATATTATTTTTAGATACCCTATGGGTTCTATTAAATTCCAATATTAAATTTTGGTTTTATCTCTGGAAAAAGGGTGAAAACATTACAAATATAGCCAAAAATCGCCATTTTAATGATATTACATGAAAAGAGGGTACAAATCCCCCAAAATTGTGGACCAAATGGGTCAAAAATATATCCATGCGGTTGATAGTAACCCCTTAAAACAATATTAAGCATAAAACCATGCGATTCTAAAATTTGTGTATCGTATAATATGATCAAACATGAAATACAGGAAAAATTCGCATACTTTTGTGAAGTAGTTTCATGGACTTTTTTTAAAAAAAGCACAACTAATTTAAGTAAATGTAAAGTTTTCAAGTTTTAAGGGGCGTGATATCAAAACTAAGGACTATCTAGACAATATAACAAATTAATTTATTTATTTTCCACACAAAATATATTATTAAATTTGGTTTCTTTTCATAGTTTACCTAAATTCGAATACTTATGAGAGACACTGTACATATGTACAAACATACACTTTTAACGAATGCTCCTTATTACATAAAAGAAGCTAAATGAAATTTTATTATTTTGGAAAAAATTATTCCGCAATATTAAATGTTTCTTTACAAGGAATCTTAGTAACTAGACTTCCAAATAAAATCTTTGTTTTAAAGTAGTTTTCCCAATTATCTCCCTCACTTAAGTAATCCTTTAATAAGATGAAAACCACAGTCTTTGAAAATCTGTTTTCAGTAAATATACATATTTGTCGACGAACT